GAGGTGGCGGCTTACGCTGCAGAACCTCCCGAAGTGGTGGTGCCCACTTCTGAACTCACAGTCTGCCCTGTCATGGCCAAGGAGGCCATCCATGAACTCTTTGCCTGTACTGTCACGGCCATGGAGGCTGTCCATGAACTCTCTGTTTGTCCTTTCATGGCCAACAATACCATCTCGGAACTGTCTACCTGTCTTGTTACGGCCGCAGAGGCCGTTGTTAACCTCTCTGTGCTCTCTGTTCCAGTCCCGCCTGATCCGCCGTGGTGGTTCTCTGCACCATTGGCTCCACTGAAGTGGTCATCGGTCACCCTGACTTCCATTGTTCCACATTCTGCCACTGCTCCACGGTCCAGGCCCACCACTGCTCCACAGTCTAGACCTGCCTCTGCTTCATGGCCCAGATCCACCATGGCTCCACTGCCGAGGTCTGTCATTGCCCCATGGTCCAGGTCCACCATTGCTCCACAGTCCTGGTCCTCTGCCATGCCATGATCCAGGTCCTGTTCCAGGTCATGCGCCGCTCCACCACCCTCCTGGACTTTTTGGGTTTTGTTTGGGTTGGGTGTTACGTTAGGGCATCTGGAGCCACCCTTAAAGGGGTGGATATGTCACGCTGGTTTTGGGTTTCGTTTCAAGTTCATGTTTTCATGGTTGTTGTTGTTGTTGTTGTTGATGAGCTGCAAAGTATGTTATTTTTACTGTAAAAGTCTAACTGAAATTGTAAGGACTAATTATAATGAATAGTTAAATTACTTTTAATAGCTGTCATAAAACAGAATAATGCGACACAGGTTATAATCCAAACAACAGGTTTATTGCAGGTTGAAACAGACAAACATGGATAGCAGATGAGTAACTGGTCAAAGGATTAATGCAGAGGTAATGTTACCCAACTTGAAAATGTTCTGAGGTAGTTGAAAATGTATACATATGAATTATATTTATTGCGCCATATGGGATTAAAATATGGGATATGCCCTGATATGTATGTCTATGAAGGATATTTTCAGGCTGTGCGTTTATGAGGGTCTTATGGTATAGCTGTTCCAGAACACTTCTGTTACTGCAGTAACACATGATATGTAGAGTTGGCTCACACACTGCTTACGCAACACTAATGAATCAGCCCAGGGCATAATGGCCAGCGTTGCACACTGTTGAGAAGATTATTATTGTTGTTGTCGTTGTTTTTGTTGTTTCAGTACTTGATTTCTGTTTATGTGTTGCTATGTGTTGTGTATTGGGTGTGTCTACAAATATATGTGTATAATATACAGCATGAATAGATCTATTAACAACATTTACATTTTTTTGTATTGTATTGTACTGTGTTGGGCGTACCATTCATTCTACCATTGTATTTGTAGGTTGTGTACACTGGAGTGTGCAAATAAACTGAATATTGAAAACTGAGGCACGTAATTTGACATAAAAACCTATATTTTAATTTCACTTGGCAATTATTAACAAGTAAAAAAAAAAACCCAGTCAGGATTCACCTGTTTTCTGTTCCTGTTCACTTCGTTGCAAGCCAAAATGAAACTGAAACTGACTGTTATGAAATGCTTTGGACTATAATTTTTTTTTAATTACATAAGCCAAGGCCCTTCCAGCTAGCAGTGCTCCAAAATCTATTTCTTCACAAATACAAACAGACCTTTGGACAGCAACTAAATCAGGATGTCATGACCTAAAATTGGAGTAGTGGGTCAAAGTGAAATTTAGAGAAACTCGGAGACTGAACATGAATTTTATTTTTTTTATTTATAATTTTTTCTTGAAGATTTCTCTCTTTATGGCTTAAATAAATTAAATAATATGAACTATAAACATAAACAATTGTGGCAGAATTTTACTGGGCAGATTAAAGAGATCAGTTGATCTGAGGCATTCAGACATCAAGAAACATTTTTTTTTTAAGACCAACAGGCTTCACACTGCAGGGAATCCAAACAAAGCAGGAACAGGAATTCTGTTTTTCAGCCTGTCAGATTCCATTCTCTGTCCCACAACATTCTACATAGTTCCAAAAACCTGTGAAGTGGAAACGTAACTGTAAACTCAATAGAATTAGACAAGATGTGAAAAACTCAACTGAATATCTTGCAGTGAACAATAGCTAATCTTGGCTAATCCCACAGTCAGTTATTGCAGTTATTGCAGACAAACTGGAAAGTACTTTCTTAAACTGGCAAGCACTAATCTGATTGGCCGACTCTGAGCAACTTCTGGAAATAAGGTCATATCGGTGTTTTTTTTTTTAATCAGGCTGCCTGGAAATGAAGTTGCGTGACGGATGTCAAGTCAAGTCAAGTCACCTTTATTTTTATAGCGCTTTTAACAATACAGATTGTGTCAAAGCAACTGTACAGCATTAATTAGGAAAATAGTGTGTCAATAATGCAAAGTGACAATAGTAAACACTAATTTTTCAGTTAAAGGCAGTTCATCATTGAATTCAGCCAGGCTGCAGCAAAGTCACATTGTGCAGAGGACTCAACTGGCTCCTGTGGTCTTGTCCCGGTGGCCGTCTGAGAGAAGGTCTTTACTGGGGATCTGTATCTGAGGCTCATCTAGTTGTCCTGGTCTCTGCTGACTTTCAGGGCTGTAAAGGTCCTCTCTAGGTGCTGATCCACCATCTGGTCTGGATACGTACTGGATCCGGGTGACTGCAGTGACCATCTGATCTGGATACAGACTGGATCTGGTGGCTACGGCCGGGCTAATATGGTCATACTTCCTGGTTTTAGTAAGAACTCTAGCTGCTGCATTTTGGACCAGCTGGAGTTTGTTTATTAAGCGTGCAGAACAACCACCCAATAAAGCATTACAATCTAACCTTGATGTCATAAATGCATGGATTAACATTTCTGCATTTGACTTTGAGAGCATAGGTCATAATTTAGATATATTTTTGAGATGGAAAAATGCAGTTTTACAAATGCTAGAAACTAAGATCCAATAGCACTAATAGAGAGATACAACCACAATCAGATGATAAGAGCAGGTCATTTGTAACTCTAATTAGAGCAGTCTCAGTACTATGATACGGTCTAAATCCTGACTGGAAATATATAATGAGCTCTACTGTAGAGATTTAACGTGTAAAAAATATTTTTGCAACGTAAAATACACTGCCATACAAGTGAAGGAAGTATAAAAATATTATTTTACTATAATAACACATAAATTAGATCGTAACATTTGTCTATCCTCAACCTAAGTTCCAATCTTCACCACGTTGTTAACCAGCAAAAGTCAAAACATCTTGTAAACAAAAAAAAGTTTACATTTTAACGTGCATTTTTAAGGCACCGAGTCTTAAAAATGCACAATTACTCGCAAGAGGCTGAAAAGGCAGCAAGATAACAGTTCAAAAACAGAGTAAACAAAATGCACTATTTGTAATCCGGCTTTAATGTCTCAATTTTCTTGTCTTTCTATTTAGAATGTTTTAAATTACTCTAAAGTATAATGGGAACTGGAAACTACAAACATTCTCAATAGTGGCTCATGCCACTATTTTCCAATTACATTTTGGTTTCTGTGAGTGTGTTTACCTGTTTATCCTGAGCTCTCCTTTATCTTTACCCCGCTGAACGACAGCCAGACCTTTCACTTTGGCATCTGTTAGAGATAAAGATAAGAGCCAAAAATCGATCAACAGCGCTATCACAGCATTTATTTTCTTGATATTTATGCCAATTCATATTTTTCTTCCATAATTTCACTCTCTAAATAAACTGCAGAGTTTATGAATATGCTGATGCATTAGCCATCCAGAAACACTGTTTCAACTTTGCCCATTAAACACTGTATATTTCTCAAAATGTTACAAAATATGTCAGTATAGCTAGTAAGATTACGAATATCCAATTTTGTTTGAATTTGTTTTAAATCAATTTCTGAATACATTTGCTGTTTCCATTTTTAGACACTGGGACATGACAGCATCTAAAGCAATTCTGAAAGTATTATTAGTGTGTTTTAACTGTACCAGGCTCACCTCACACATTCCTCTAAATTGCACGACAACCCTGAGGAACACAGTGATATAAAATCTCTTTATAGAGCACAGATTAAAGCAAATATAAGTGTTTAATCGTCATGAAAGGACAAGAAGTCATTCCGTGCGAAAGGGAAAGGGTGAAATTAAATTCATAACCCTAAAATAGACATTGTTCTATATTTTTGGATTCGAGAATCATACATCCTTGAAATTTTATAGGAGATGATAGTGAAACACCTGTGGGGTAAAAATGAAGGATGAGTGATGAGCAAGTTATTTAGGGTGTTTCAACTGTCCCTTTGTTCCAACATTGTCTACCACAGGCTGCTTTGGAAACAAAACATTTCCAACCCTTCACAGTGCCCTTTGTTTTGTGTCACCGTTTCTTCAGCATGGCTTGGCATGTATACCAGTCAGACGGGTTAAAAGCCATGCTTTAAATTCCTATCCTAGTATTCATTCAGAACTTTGATACTTTAAATATTTAAATGAACTTTGACAGTAAAGGGTTGTCATCACATAGGACAAGACACGTAACTGCATTACTCATTATTACGTGATTTATGGGTTTGGAGGTTTAGAGAAATCTGTGTGTGTGTGTGTGTGTGTGTGTGTGTGTGTGTGTGTGTGTGTACTGGCAATCTCAACCTCTGCAAAGAATCTTCTAGAAAGCGCTGCCATTTTGTCCGTTACAGTTGATTTTACTTTTAGGACATTACTTTTAGCAAACCTCTGAAACCATTTGTCAGGTTAGCTGAATCTGCTTTATGATCAAAAACTGAATTACATGCCAGTGTAAATTTGTGTGTGTATGTGGATTTTTGTCATCCATTATTAAACTCATTTTCACATTTATAATTATCATCACTGAATTAAGATTTGGAACATGATCATAAACTTGGCATCATAACTTTTGATTCTAGTTTAAACAATCTTTTGTGACATCAAGGGAAGGACTGAAAAAAGAAAAGGACATATTGAGACAAAATTATTTTACAACCCTTTATTCACAGTCATATGCAAGCATAAATTAGTACATTACAACCTGTTGAATGGTTTCACTTAAGTCTTTTGAATTTTCTATTCCTCATTTTGTATATTTGTACATTTAATGGATATTTAGAGAGAACAAGCATCAGATGCTTTATATTGATGTTAACAGATGGATAAGTTAGTAAAGCTTGTCTAGATAAACAACTGATTTTAAAAACGGAATCATATTCAATTATTTTAAATTTTTTTTAACATCAACACTATACTTTCACTTTTCCTTTCTGTTTACTAATGTTCTAAAAATTGAGATTCATAGAGACCAGTTACATAGGAACATGTAAATAAATATATTTATTTTATTTTATATGATTTAAGATATGTGCGTGATATGTGAAAACAGAAATCAATTGATCACCAGTATACTACAGTTAAAAAAGGGCCAAGAGATCCACTTATATTATTTCAGTAACGACACAGAACACTTTCTTAAGAACAATACAACTTCCGTTGCAGAAAAATAATAGAAAAGTTACATTTGCAATTAATACAACTTTTTCACAAAGTGCCTTCGACATTACCATTAGTAAAAAAGCAAGACTGCCTTAATAATATTGTATTACAAATTTCAAATATATGAAAAAAATAAACAATATTTTTACCGCAATTTAAGGTTATAAGTTGAACTAAAATGCAAAACTAAGTAAATATTGTTCAGTCGTAAAACAATTTTATAGCATTTTTAAAAAGAAAAGGAGAATAAACATTCATAAACGTTCACTGTGAAATTGTAATCAGACCAACTGTTATATTAATCAAAAGGCTGTTATTTTAAGATCAACTGTTATAAAGTTTTATATTAATATCTAACAGTTATCAATTCAGTATCAAATCAGATACAGGCGGGTAATCTCATACTTATCAAATTCTTATAAAATAAACGAGCACCTCTAACAAGAGGGGAATGACATCACTATGGTCAAAACCATAGTTTTCCAATGTTAAGACAGATATTTCATACTACACGCACATGGTGCGGTCCCACAGGTATTTCACTTCACAACATGCGGATCTACTAGAAACAGACATCAAACAAGACATGATCTAATAGAAGTAGAAAAGAGGTAAATCATCCAGTAAAAAGGACACCCAAAAAATGGAAACAGAAATGGAAACAAACACAATACTGAATCATCAGAAGCGCAGTGTTAACATCGTTTGGTCTGTTACCATCTGGTAACAGGTCCAGTTTTTGAACCTTACTCTTTCACAGCGCATCTTCTATCACCGGTTGTATAGATGACACTACATGACTAGGTGATAAGAAACACCACAAGGCTGAAGTTAGTATGAAGAACTTTCCACCACTCCATTCTTTGACTTGTGAATCAAATTGCAGCTGTGTAAAATATTTTCCCCTGTGACCTCGTTATTCTTCAACACAATACTGAATCATCAGAAGCGCAGTGTTAACATCGTTTGGTCTGTTACCATCTTCTGGTAACAGGTCCAGTTTTTGAACCTTACTCTTTCACAGCGCATCTTCTATCACCGGTTGTATAGATGACACTACATGACTAGGTGATAAGAAACACCACAAGGCTGAAGTTAGTATGAAGAACTTTCCACCACTCCATTCTTTGACTTGTGAATCAAATTGCAGCTGTGTAAAATATTTTCCCCTGTGACCTCGTTATTCTTCTCTATTATTCTCCAACTGTCCAGAAGCTCAGGCTGGTGTGTTAAATGTGAGAAGCTTAAACTTGTAAACACTGAGAATCAGCATATGGGGACACTCAATGCACAGGGCCTTTTTTTAAATATGTATGTTGCATTGATTTTGGTCCATGCAGCACGGTTGAATCACTACAGACGCAGAGCATCCTCTTTTAAACACATTCAAAATTTGCGCCGCTCTTTTCTTGATACCATATGAGCAGTTGTTCCCTCTTCCTACTGTCCGTTGGGAATTTATGCATAAAGGGTTTTCTTTAAACCCTGAGCTTCTTTTTCAGCTCAAAGTACGCATCAAATCTGGCCATGGCGTACTCCTGTAAAGAATGAGAAAAAATTATTAGAGAATAAACGATTAGCATTTTTAAATGATATATATTTATAACAGAGCAGTTCTACAAGATATAGGAGCATTATATGGACTATCATTGTCCTTCTGTTTTTGTTTTTTTTGTCCATTTTATTTTATTTTATTATTTTTCTAATATTAGCCATTCATTGTATATTATTCATTGTTTTAAAAATGGTCAAACTTCAATAAGTTTTTTTTATTTTTAATACACAACATTTTATTTAAAAAAACTTTACAGTGGCACACACTCCGTAGGTTTACAGTCATGTTACCCTGACCTCACAAGTATTTGTGTAATGTCCAAAGAGTTGTCAGGCAGCGCACATATTGCACAGGCCGTATCTTTACATATCTGATCTCCGTTGATAAAATTCTTGTCTTACCTAAGAGCTGCACTGTGTACAATGGAATAACTCCGTAATAACTCAACATTAGCAATAACTCAACTGCAGACACAAAGACTCGATGGCTTTCTTGCAATAACTCACCATGTACCCAAACTCAATAGTTGATATTTTGGCCTGGATCACGGACCACAATCCCCAGAAGAAATGGGAGGCCAGAGCGAACCTAAACGAGAGAGCATCGAGTTCACAAATTACAGATGGAAAGAACGTTTGGGAAGTCTCTGGAAATGTGAATCATTGCTGGACTTGGTCCAAATGTCTTTTTACAATATCCATTATAGTAGTACAGTACGAGACCCAAGAGAGAGGGCCTTATTTCAAAATCAACAAGCTCAAGAAAATGTTACATAATCATCTATAAAATTACAAATTGATGGCAAAATGTGTGTAAAACTGCTTAAGATAGATCTGAGGTAGGTATATCACCTGTTAACCTCCACTAGCATATCCTCTTTGAGTTTCAGCTGGTCCTCCTCACTCAAGTTTTCAAATCCAGCATGAGATTCCAACAGATAAGTCTGAAAGAAATGCATCTGAGGAAACAAAATCAAATGTAATGTCATTTTTAGGGTTAACAGATTTAAGACAAGAAATAAAAGTACGCCAAAAAAGTCATTTTACAAACCTGCTGTGCTTTGTTGGGGTAATTTTTGGTGTTGGTGATGAAAAATGGAAACTTGTCAAAGGTGTAGTCATAAGCCCACTCACAGAAGAAATTTCCAATGTCAAATCCTCTGTGGGAGAAAGACAGGAGATCAGCACCCCATCAACAACATCCGTTAGTGCGATAATAATGCATAATGCATGAGTCTTGGTCGTTCAGAAATCATTGGTAATTGTGAAGGAGGTTTTGTTTAGTTGCCTCCCACATTGATGAGAATGACATTTGGAAACTGTTCTAATTGGCTTCAATAAATAATAAATAAATCAGAATAAATTCTGATGGGCATCAAATGATGTGTAGGGCTGATCAGCATCATTATATATAATAAATGTACAGTATTACTGACTACAAATGCCAAACATTAGTATGCTGATCCAAAAAATAAAAAAATAGTGTTACATATATTAAATTTAACACTTTAAAATGTACAGCTCAGCCCAGATCTCATTTTTAAAATTCATGGTCTAAAATATTATCCAGCTGAAGTGCAGCATTAACTGATAACGTCCTATTGCTGTTTCGGAAGATGGTAATACATTTCTAGTCTATCCAGCTCAGTCATGAAACTCTATAGACAGCAATGCAGTCATGTATTACATGGCACAAGCTGATTGGCTGATTCTTCAGCCAATCAGATTGCTTGCTCAACATTAAAATAGTCTAGTTCAATGTTTGCTCTAAGTTGTATCTGCAGTGTGCAATCAGAGTTCCTCTTATATTCTTTGTGAAGAGCCTCACAGCTGCTGTGGAAACTGAACAAAGCACACATCTCTGTGGCTGGGAAGCCTGGCTTCATTTCCTACTGCTTTGCTGCACAAGCACTGTCAATGGACCTAAACATGGGTCACTTACACCCTAGGAGACTACACTGGATGGCAAGATGGGAAAACAAAGAAAGCATGCCTTGACCCTTGTCGTCCACCACTAGAACAGTGACCTTGCCGATACAGAACCCCCACCAGGCTCCTAAAAGAACGTGTTACAGTTTGGAGCTTATTTGCCTGAGGATCCTCTTTGAGACCTGTGTTTGAGCACACGCAAGAATGTGAGTACCCTAGCAACAGTGTGGGATCATTGCCAGAGCCTTCAACGTCTAGAGGTCCCTTCTTAGAAATGGGGCACCCCAAGTGTTCCAAACTGATCAGAAACAACCGAGTTGTCTTGAATAAGAGAATCAGACAGTTCTTTAATTCAGCTCCAAAAATGTAGGAGGTAAAAGATCAAAACTTAATTCCCATCAACATCTGGCCGTTACAAAACCAGGCTGTTTTCTTAGAATTTAGCTGCATGTGCTTCTTCTGATAGAGCATGTGAGGAATGGATGTGACTATGAATATTACAGACCTGTAGTTGTAGCTGCTGTATTCAAAGTCGATTAACATGAGCCTCTGTCTGTCCGTGTTCTCACGGCTACTCAGGAGCAAGATGTTTCCTGTTTAAAACATGGCAGCACTTTTAAAACATTTGATTAAACATTGAGTGGACCTTTGTTAGAAACAATAATAAGATACAGACAATCACAGTACTAAACCCATGTCTAACCTTCTTGCAAGTCATTGTGGCAGAAAACAACAGGAGAGGGAGTTGATTCAAGTAGACACCTGTGTACACAAACAGCCATTTAAGTAAGCACACAAAAGACATCAATTATGAGCAGTCGGCAAACACATTCTACATTTGTCAATACATTATCAGTCACTATCGAATCTCTTAAAGTGTGAACAGTTTCCAGGGGTTCTGATAAAGCATGTCAATGAAACCATGCTGGAAATGTATGATGAGATGATGATTCCCCTAAAACAGAAGTGAAATCACAGCTGTACTGAATAATCAAGATAATAAAGATCTTACTTGAGACTGTCCATCTCTTGTGGCAAGTTGTAGCTCAAAAGGCGGGAGAAGTTTCGTAGATGTTGCTCCCTGGTGAAGGTGAGCTGAAGCACTTGATCCATGTACCTGTGCAGTAGATGAGAGTACAAAAAGATTGCAGTGTTGGCCATCAACAAAAATACTCAATATATTTGCAGGCAAATACAGACAGTAACTCTTCTATTTTTAGCAATTAAGTAAGCTAGAGTGAAAATTCATATGAGATGATAAAGCTGGTAATCTATATTTAGGTCCCAGAGGAGATAGCACTAAAGGCTATGGGGTTTTCCAGAAAACATGAAACAGAAAACAGTACAGCTTTTTCTTCCAGGGAACTAGGTTTACATGTATCATATTTAAAATTTTATAAACTGAATTTCACCAGAATAAACTCAATACTGTCCAACATACTGACAGTAAGGATGCAGTTCCTCACCCACGATGAACATTTCTGACCATTTAAACAAACTAGACAGCCTTTTTTAACCCTGTTAAAGGTTGTGTTCTAGCCATTTTGACCAAGAGAGGATTTTTTTTCCTGAAAATGCTACTTACTGACACCCCCCAGTATTTTTGTGCTTTTTTAACCACCTTGTTACACTTGTGGTGGTCAAAAATGATCAGTCTACAAACAATTCACTCAAAAACTGAGGTGCATAAGCTCAGATCAATGAGTCCTACAATCAGTAAGCTCCGAAACGAAATACAAACATGTGCTAATTGAAAGAAAAGAAGTTGAATTCATAATTTGGTGATTTTATAACGTTATATGCAAGCAATTTGTAAAAGGCTGGAACAGCCAAATTAGTTAAAGGATTTTCAGCACAGGACAAGTGTTAATTTGACAGATATTTTATGATCACGCACTTTTCCATGGTGCCAAACAGCCACTTTGGCTCCTTGTTGAAGGGCATTCTCATTCCATGAAATCTGGTGATCTTTTCAGCAATCTCAGCAAATATACCAGGGACACTCAGCTCATCTGTGGACAATTTTCGACTCTGCAGGCAAACATTGAACTTTCAGTTTGTGTTTTTAGAACTAAAACAGAAACAATTACGCAACTAAAATACTAAAAGTTGCACTTGAGTTTTAAGTTTCTGTGTATTAAAAATCACAGAACATCATTGAGCAATGGAAAAAGTGACATAAGGAAATTTGCCTAGAATGTCATTTGATTTTTCTTCCAATTTGCAAGAAAAGGATTCATAAGCATTAGTGTCAAAACCGTGTTTCACATCCAGAATGTCCTATCAGTCATCATAGCAGCAAAGTTGAAGACTCACAGGGACAAACTGTTCCAGTCTCCCCTGTGGAAAAATGCCATAGAGCTTGGGCCCAAGCTCCCTCTCGGCCAGGATGGCAAACATCACACTCTCCAGTACCATGGCATCAGCTCCCTGCAAACACAAAAACATACGGATACAGTTTGGGCACTCAACAAGTTAAATCAACTGCCAAGATCTATCATCAAACCACACAGACTGCCATGAAAACCTGCTTAGCCTGATTGGACCTTCAATCCCTTAAAGAGAAGTTCAGCCTAAGTTAAAGGGGTCAAATGACGTTGCTAAAAAGAACATTATGTTGTGTATTTAGTGTAATGCAATGTGTTTCTGCGGTTTAAGGTTAAAAAAACAGATTATGTTCCACATAATGTACATTATTGTTGCTCCTCTATGCCCCGCCTTTCTGAAACACGTCGATTTTTACAAAGTTCATGGACCCTTTTCACATTTCCGGGTTTCTCAGCAGTGGAAGTCGTCATAGTTGGGTTAACTTCGAGAGCAGTGAATGGGAGAGTACCACAAATATATTTTTTGCATTCCCATTTGCTCAGATAGCAAAAGAAAAACTCCACGATAGTGTTTTCGTGACTTTCAATAAAAGGAAAAAAATTGAGAGAGACTGATAACGGCAGTCAGAAGAGAGAACGATGTCAAATTTACCATCCCTCCCATAGACGCTGCATATGCATTAGCGTTAAAGGGGTGCTATTATGCTTTTTCACTTTTTCAACTTTAGACTTTAGTTAGTCTGTAATGTTGCTGTTTGAGCATAAAAAAGATCTGCAAAGTTACAAAGCTCAAAGTCCACTTCAAAAGGAGATATTTTATTCAACAGAAATCACTTTTTAAAAACTACAACGAACGACTCGTTTGGACTACAATGCATATTTTCCGGGATTTGTGATATCACAAATATCGACGAATGGGACGAGACCTGGTTGAGCTGCACTAGAGAAGGCAACAAGTGTTATCACTGTGTCGGAGACAAGCTAGCTTTCCCAAGGCAGACGAACTTAGAGTGGTTACAATCATCCGGGTTTAAATCGCGCTCAAATTGATTTGATTTTTACGCAATATTTACACTGAAGCTCGCAGGCGGCTGTGGTAAGGGGCATGACATGACACAACCAGGCGCCGAGTGCTGCCAATCACAACACACACTGGCCCAGCTAACCAATCACTGATTATAATGACTTATACTGTCTTTTTACACGTTGCGTTATGTATTGCGCCGCGTAAACATAAAACTGTCTGCATTTGTGATTGGAGGAATGACAATCAACAAGCGCTACTCTACACTGCTCAAAACTCGCGTTCGGCGGGCTTGAATGGGCGGAGGCCGGCGGGCTTGCGGCAACCACATGTGACAACCCGGGCTGGACTCCACTTCGTCCACGGTGAAAGCCGATCTGGCGATCCACAGCGCGAAGTTGATGTATTTCCTCAGCGACCAGCACGGATCAGCTCCAGGCATGACGAAGCGGATATCTCTTTGGGTTTGAGACTTTAGTCTTTGCAACTTCAGGGATCTTATCTATGCACGAACAGCTTGTAACACTCCAAAGAGAAAGGAAAATTTGAAATGGCATCATATGACCCCTTTAAAGAACTTAATTCAAAACTGTGATGCTATAAAGGACAATAAATTCTGCACTGAAACCAATTCTATCTGAGAGCCAGTCATTTTGTAACAGTGGTGATGGGCAGAAGCAAAATCAATGGCAGTGCTGGAGCAAAGTGAGTTAAATGAGAAAAACAAGTGAGGCAATTGTGCTGAGCGAGGCAGAACTTGCAAAACATCCCAGTCATTAATTGTGGCTGCTTAACTAGCAATGACATTAAGCCTGTTTTTGGACAAGGCTGTGCCAAGTGTTAATACACAGAACCGAAAGAGCTCCCTTCCTGTGTGGGGGAAATACAAGGTATCTCAATTTTTCAAAACATTCTACAGTTCTGCTTTTACTTGTTCCCTCCAATTAGAGATCATCTAAAAACAGATTGCCAAAAGATTATATATTTACCAGTTATCAGTCATTGAGTGCTGTACTTTGAACTAATGCCTTAGGAATCCAAACCTGGTACGGCAAATGTTTGAAACTGCAAACATGAATGATTCAAATGTTACAGACTTCCTGTAACATTAACTTGAACCACTGATGTCTCATGACAATGTTACGCAAAAGTTGACCACAAACTGGCACACCAATATGGTAACAGAAATTCAAACAGAAAAATGCCAAAAACTAAAATTATAAACTTTTATGACTTTCTTTATTCCCTGGTGAGTATCCTAGCAACTCTTTTCAATGTAATGAAAGAGAATGAGAACTATGCTGAAAAAAAAAGTCTGGATGAGTCGATTCATTGAAAAGATCAGACTCAAATGTTTCAATTTCTTGTCTTAGATCTTTTCAATAAATTAATTGCATTAATCACATTTTTTTTAAACAGGTTTGGAAAAAAATGAGGGTAAACAAATTATGGCTTTAATTTCTTTTAATTTTGTGTCAACTTTCCCTTTAAGATCACAGTAAATATTGCAATTATGAGTTCCGAGCACAGGAATGACCAATCAATGTCCTATTTACAAGTGGGAAACTAGAAGTTATTTGAAACATGGTGGAAACACTGATCTGTTATATAGATAATGTTTGAATAATCTATGTATAATCTATATATAGCGACCAGTGAGTGGACAGCAAGTCTGTAGCAAATCGTATAGCACTTAACTTTTCACAGTTTACTTCACATTTAGGTGTGATACCATGCATAAATAAGACATCAATTAATATTTTTCATTTTTTTTAATTCAGACATAGTTGTTTGGTTAATTATCACAATTAGAGTTTTTATTTGGTATATTTCTTTTGTTCTGCGTAGACTACTTCCATGTTCCATTTCCAACATGAATGCGTGACGTCCTAATAACAAATGTCTGACTCAGAGGAACAAGTTTCCCAGGTGCAGTTAAAGGCAGAATTGCACAAGTAGTTCCTGTATTTAGTGTCCTATAAAACAACAGAAAATCTTTTGCTAAGTACTAATAATCAAGATGACCAAACACTTCAATGTGAATAATAAAGACATTAAATCACCACAGGCTCTTGCTTAGAAGATACCCCAAGGGAAAATCTCTTCAAATACTCCTCTCAATTAAGACAATCATCATGGCATAGATCCTATACTGTGTGCAGGGACAGCACACATTGAAACTCAGTTTAACCTACCATCTAAGTCAAATAATGCATTGGCCTTGAGTCTTTTATCTCACTACAGCTCAATTTAATAAGGTCAGGTAAAAGCACTGAGCTCATTTCATCAGTTTTTGACATTATGCAAGAATGGCACGCAATTGCGCAACAAACCTGCTGAGGAAATATCAGCTGGCCTGCAGTGTTAAAAAAAAAAACATCCGGTTCTCTCAGAAATTCAACAGGACACTATGGCCTTTCCATTGGAGGATAATTCTGACAGAAAAACCTGGAAGGAAATTAGACTTCCTCAAAGGATACTTCGGAAACACCATCTTTGGCTTGCTTTGGAAGTAGGAATATATTGGCAGAATCAGCAAGTTTTCTAATTCTTCATTCAAAATAGTTCACACATACTATACGACAACTCATGCTCTTCATTTAAATTTGTTCTGAAATGTCTGGTACTTGTTTGGTCTGCTGCACAGTGAGTCAAATGATTTAACAGACAGCACTCTTCTACGAAAATATGCCTACGGAAACTGGTTTAGACAGGTTTCCTAGAAACTACAATTTACTGTGACTTAAAACTATTCAACTTTGGCTCTAAGGGCCACTGTTCTGCAGAACATAGTTCCATCAAACATACCTGATTAATGAAGGTCTTTAGGATTACATGACAATTACAAGCAGGTGTGTCTGATTACACCTGTGGTAGTGTCTAATGACTTATAAACAAAGGTGTCCAATCCTATTCCTGGAGATCTACCTTCCTGCAAAGTAGAGCTCCAACCCTAGTCACACGCACCTGAACCAACAATAATTAAAATCTTCACGAACACTTGATAATTACAGAAATGTGTGTTTGATCAGGCTTGGCACTGAACTCTGCAGGAATGTAGATCTTCAGAAACAGGAATGGGCACCTTTGACCTAGAACAGGGGTAGGCAAGTTCGGTCCTAGAGAGCCGCAGTCCTGCAGAGTTCAGCTCCAACCCTGAAAACAAAACTCACCTGCCTATAGCCTTAGTAATCCTGAAGACATTGATTAGCTTGTTCAGGTGTGTTTGATTAGGGTTGGAGCTGAACTCTGCAGGACTGCGGCTCTCTAGGACCGAACTTGCCTACCCCTGACCTAGAACAAATTCAAAAGAGCTTCAAACATAACCAACTATTTAAATAACTACAAGGCTTATTTCTTGGAAATAGGGTAAATTTTATTTATTTGAATTTATTACATTTTCAATCATTCTATTAGATGCCACTTTTATTTTCACCACACACCTAAACAGTGTGCATAGGATACATCAGTGCTGCTGCCTTCAAAAAATGATTGATTTCCTACCTCCTGCAAAGCCAGCATTTTTCAGGTTTCAAACACAGTCTCTCTCTCTCCCTCCCTACCCTGTTATCTGACTAAGCAATGGCCATGTGACTGCTGAGCAGCAGCTGCTTGGGTTTTTCCAGTGCCAGTTAATACACAAGGCATAATCACAGGATTACTGAAGCAGATCAGTTCACAGCAGCACAAGGGCAGTATCTACATGCAGGTGTTATCAATGTCCAGCGAGGAGGGGAAGTCCATCTCAACAGTACCACCACTGGCCCTGTGTGTTAGTCTGTGGAATAAATTCACACAAAACTACACATGCAAAACAGATAGAAGCAAAGTTTGAAGAGGCCAGACAGCTGATGCTGAACCGAGACAGTGAGATTAATGCTGGGATAAGCTTCTAATAGGATGCACTGCTATGACTCTCAGGGAAATAATGCCAATCGGAAAAATTTTATGTGTGTCAGGGAATGCGTCTTATCAGTTCTGGATGCTCTCACTTTGTAGCTATGAATATGAACCTTTTACACAATCATTTTCATATAAATAATTAGTAATATATTCATTATATAATGAATAGTTTTTGTCTCATTTTGAGTAAAAATATTTAAATATTGTTAAACCAAGACAATATTACTGGAGAAGCAAAATTGTATAATATTGGTTTCAAAAGAATTGGTTTCAGAGAATAATAATATTTTTTAAATATAATTTTTTATATACTTTATAACTTTTAAAACGTTAAAATCAATTTGCATGTCTTTTTTTAAAGATCTTTTATAACATATTTATATTTGGTTTATTTTTCTTACCCCATTAGAATTTTTTTTTTTTAAGTTTTAAGCATTAATCTAAAAAAATGGTGAAGTCGAGTTAAGAAAAATAAACTCAGTTGAAGATGCATTTACTGAACAAAAGTCTTGTTATCTTATACAATTATGCATATAAGAATTATTTTATATATTTACTAAAAACAAGACAAAAATACTGAACAAAATTATTTTGTGATGCATTAATAAGAGGGGTTCCAAGTGACCAAATTTCCCCAAAACACTACTAAAATACGAGAATGTAACAATAATAAACCCCAGAGCTCATGGAAAAATTTGACCTAAAAGTTTGAAATCACAACTGAGACAGGTCCAAACAAAACATATCTGATGACCCAAATAGCATGTCCCTTGGCCTCGGTGGATGATGGGATATGAGGTAAAAATACAATAACAGCAGTTTAACTAGCTATAATGCTTTTAGGAATTTGTCCTCTTGATGGCCTTATATTTGCTATAAAACATGTCAGATGAGGTGGAATAAAGACAAAAACCTTTTATAGAGACACAAGCCTATAAAGTCACATTCTGCTCACATAAAAACAATAGAAAAACAGACCTTTGTTACTTACTTGAAAGTGATTTTCTTTGTTTGATTGTCTGGAATCCCCTTTATTACAGGACATCTAGCAATAAGAGAAAAAGCAAAAGACTATCCATAAGAACAAAGTTGTTGTCTATGTGACATTTGACCCTCTCCATAATGTAGCAACATTACGTGACAGAGCTATTTTCCAGAACCCACTATAAACCATTGAGACTGTGTCTTTGGCAGCACAGTAAGAAAGTGCATTAAACAAATGAATTAACTTTGTGATTAAAAAAAAAAGAACAGAGTGTTAAAGAGGGCTAAAAGTTAGAAATGTGTGGCCTGTTTAACAAAAGGCTTGACTCTACTGGATGCTAAGCCAAAATCTTGTTTCATGACCGCAGATGGGGAAAAAAATCAAACAATCAAATCTTTTATAACAGCAATTATCAAAACCATGTTCCATTGAGACCTAGCACAAATATTTAGTACACAATGCTATTCTCCACTAGAATGAAAAGATCTAAAGGGTTTGGTGTCTATGGTAATAAACACTATGTAAATCTCACACGAGCAATGTGAATGCTAGTGACAGCAATAAAGTGTGTCTAGTTAAATAGCGGTCAACACAGATTACTATTGGTGCACAGTTTTAAAATGAACTCATATACAATGCCTTAATGAACTCTAAGATTCATTTGTGAATCACTGTGTAGCAAAGTCCACACACTCTGGAATTTGTAATATGGCTTCAACTAATGCTTTTCCACACAAACACCTGACTTCAGACGACTGGACTGTGGACCTACTGACACCTCATCAGGTATGACATCATGAGCTTCGTGACTGCTGTGTATCTAAATAACTGATTGAAAAACATCCAGAGATTAAAAGCAACTCATCATTACAAAAATCAAAAGCCAAAGCCTAAAGGGAACATTTAGTCACTTCTTAATAATGGGTTCATTCACATGTGTTTATATGTAAACTGTCATATAATATAGCCAATACATTTTGTATATATATAGTAAATATTACCTGAAATATATTAAAGTATTTTTAAAGATAAAAAATAATGAAAACAAATTTTCATTTGCTAAAAATTATGTCATTACATGAACAATAACCATAAGGCACACCCTTTTGCAAGTAATGTTGCTATTATCATAATGCTACTGCAATAACATAATTAATGAACTATCAAAGGTAGCACTTTAGATTACTATCGTATTTGCTGTTTATTAGTACTTATAAAGCACATATTAATGCATGACCATAATCTAGATCTCTTAACCCTACCCAACACCTAAACATAACTCCTACAACAGCTACCTTACTTACTATCAATAAATAGCAAATTAGGAGTTTATTGAGGGAACACTCATACATAATAGTGAATATGTGTTACTCTATTAAAAAAGTGGAATGCTACCAAAATCCCTTATAATTCACTGCCACTCCTCTGTAACAATGTAACCAGCACCTAAATATGTTTCAACGGAGTAATAAAGAGTTGAAAAAAAGCAGACAGAGGCAGAAAATACTTTAGACAGGGCACATCATGAGCGTAGTTCTCAAAGATTTTAAAGACTGAGATGTGCATGAACTTGAAGGCAATGCTGTTGCTTCAGGGATCACATACTGTACCGTGAGTGGTATGCTGGGATCACCTGGAAACAAGAGTGCTCAAGGCACGCTCCTTTGGCAAGCCTACGGCAAAGAAGACACGCAAGTACAGCCATGGAGGTACATCACCCAATAAAAACTGCCTCTTTAAATTTAGAGGGTACACACACAAATACAAAATCTCTGTTTGGAGAGCGATTTAATACCCATTCTTAACTGAGATTTCTGATCCAGGGGTTGCCATCTGCCGAATGAATTTAGGTATGAATATCTCACAACAATCACTACTTCTGTAAAATCATAATTACAAGTTATTTTTGGCTAGTTTAATGCATAAATTAATGAACTGCCTAATTGTTTTAACTGTTTAAACTGAAATGACTGCCATCCAAGCTATCCCAGATACACAGTACCTAGTTTCAGACTAAATGGCAAGGTTTAACATTTGGCAATCTTGTGCTGTATGTATGCATTTGTAGGCATGTATGTATCCTTCCCAGCTTACTACAGGAAAATTACACAAAAACTTGACCAATACATCTTAAACGTTAACACTGTGTAAAATATGGGTTTGAAATGTTTAAGGCACAAGTGCGGATCTTACTAAGCATTCAAGTTTATCATATTTTTTTTAAATACTAAAATTATAAATCAAGGATGCTAATACATAGGCCTACTGGTTTGCATCTTATTAGACCCTACTATGCAATATGGCACTTAATTCATACATTTCACCAAGTAAAAAAAAAAAAAAACTAGCAAAACACCTGCAGAATTTCTCCATACAGACGAAGGAGCACATTTTGTGGTTCATCTCCAATGCTTGGTTGCTTCTCTGGCAAAGCACAGAGGAACAGTTTGTTGCTGAGACCTCCCCTAGAAGCAAAATATATATGTTAGGAAAGAGAATAACTGCATTCTTACAATGAATCAGGATATATAATTATTTACATCCAGACAGACAACACCACTAAGAAAAATGCTGCCAACATTTGAGCATCATTCTTGCACCAAAATTGACGCCTAAAAATGCTGCAGACATCTATGACACACAAAATGCTGTTTCATTAGGCAGCTCACTACATTTTGAGACACCACTTTTGTATTCTATTTTCCACAATGCTGTGTTAGGCAGATAACGAGGCTTTGAGACACAGTGTCTCAATTTTTTCAATAAATTAAAGTGTCTTGCATTTTAATTTATACTCAATTTATATTACTCATGTAATGCCTGAAAATGCGTTCTATGTAGGCAGCTCACTCGGTTTTGAGACACAGCCATGGTTATACAAATTACTGTAATACTGAGCAATCCTTTATCATCTCATGACCGATGAAAGCAAACTTACAGTACTAAATCATCTTAAGAAAGGAAACACCATTAAGTTACGCGTTTTCAATTATCGTGTCGCCTATTTCCGAATAACGTTTCTTTTAAGGTGGCATCTCTGACACAAGTAAGAAACAGTTGTCTCAGTTATTTACATTCCTAGTCACGTAGCAAACCAGAATACCTGATAATGGAGATTTGGAAATCATCCTCATCTATGGACTTCCAGGCTCCGTGAAGGAATTCTTTACACCATAGATACGCCTTATGCTTCGTCTGGTGGTCGGGCTCATCCGGTCGAATAATGTCTTTGCAGTCGTTCCCAATGTCTGGTTGGACTTCGAGGACATTCTCATTTACCAATAAACCCAGAGACATTGAAGGCGAGGAAGAGACGCCATTGATGAATTTAGTCTTCATCTTTGCTGTTGGTTACTGGTATAAACGTAAATAATCAAAATTTGCAGGCAATAAATTAAGTCACAGACTCTCTATGCAGTTTTATAACTATCCGATATTTTAAACGCAGATTTAATGGGACCAACTGACACCGTATAACTGTACGCACTACTGTAATGAAGAACACACTGCTTCTGACGCGTTTATTCGTGCGCAGTATGTTGAAGACGGGTGGGTTTGACCTCACGTCACCCGACCACACCCATTCTGTTCTCTGATTGGACCACAGAGTCACGTCCCCTTCATTCCAAACTCGAGCTACGACATCAGTAAACAATGCCTTAGAAATAAAGATTACTATCACAGCTTTCATGTCTTGTATTTGATAAATGTGGGTCATTTAATAATGTGATTTTTAAAAATATTTTTGGAATATTAAGGCGAGACACCGCAGGTGAATAGGGTAACAAAAAAAAAAACTAATAGGTATCGCCTTACTTACCCAGCTGATTGATTACATTGATAATTGCAAACATTTTTTGTATTACAAGTTTTCTAAAATGAAACATTGCAAGGGGACGATGAAAAATTACAAATAAATAAATTATTTTTACACATCAGGGACACAAATTGCACCTGTTTCGTATGATAGACCATGTACATTACAGAACTATCTATCTATCTATCTATCTATCTATCTATCTATCTATCTATCTATCTATCTGTAGCCGGGTAAGGTATAGCCCAGGTATGATTGACTGATGTCATGCCAGCCTGTGAACCTATCAGTGTCCCTACTCCTTTGTGATTGGTTAACATGGTTTAAATCCTATGAACCTATCAGTGTTGGCATTGATGATATAAAAAGGGAAGGGTTTGATTACTTGGGACGCATCATCCTTGGTACTAGACTTTTTCATTATTTAATGAAATATGCGCTAATTTGCATACATTTCTAGTTCAAAAATCTAAACACTGGATGATGTCAGTTTCAAAATTTTTGTTGAATTGTTTTGACATATTAGAGTCAAAAGTTTTTACAGAGGGAATTTTGGGTCTCTCATTTTTGTGA